TTGGGGGTCGTTGCGGCCCTGTTTTACGGTAGGTTTTCGTGACTTGGGAACAGGATGTATGCCTCACTAGATTCTAGGCAGGATCTCCGATCTTGTCGGAGACGAGCATGTAGTATGCTACATCGGTCTGAAGAAGCCAGCCAGCATCACGCTATTGACCTACGATTTGCAAGTCCTCTTCACTCACCGTTCATCTCGCCGCTCACTGGTCAAATAGCTTCGTCAACGCCTTTCTCACCGGGATGTTCCTGTGGCCGGTGGTGCGTAGCTCATTTCGGAACACCCGAGTTCAGCGTCTCGCAATACGGACTCTATGGTCTGCCCTCATCGCACTCACCACGTCCTGTGTGAACATCCTGATATTGACGTTGATGCACGGCCGCCAACTCGGTTGGGTCTGCCTCGGAAGCTGTGGGACTGATGTTAGCTCATCTATTCAGTGGATTTGAAATAATTTACTCACCGGCACGTCGCAGGTCATCGTAAACGCCTTGGTGATGTATTGGGTTACATCGAGGTATTCGGACCACCACGACGTGACGCCAACGGCCCCAGGCCTCGGTTCACCGTCGAAGACGGAAGATCCTGAGCAAACCCCCACAGAACCTCAGAGGGGCTCCAAGTTCTTATTTCAGCTGGGACGCTCAAGGCAAAATTCCCCAGTCGAGGTCAAGAGCATGCAGGTGAACTCTATCAAAGATTTTCTGCCAAGATCAGGCACATTAAGCCGTCCTTCCCACAGATCACGGTCACCACCGAACGGATCGAGGAAAACGGCGAGGTTTCGATTGATGAATCGGAGTATGAGCTGCAAAAAGTGCATTCCGTTTTACGAAAGGGCTCCAGCGAAATCCGAGAGGAAAACCCTCCCCCCAACTCCCATAGCTAGACCACTGCCCATCATACCTTCGGGGCGTCCACTCCTTCGATCATATAATCTATAGATATTGGAAACATAAGTTCGTGATTGGGGACACCACAATCCACTGATACCGCTATCTTGTCAGCAAGAACAATCTGGGAACAATACAGACCCTGGTCGGGGACTATCCCAGTTTCAACCACACGCTACTCACCTCATCTCAATTGAACCTTGGCAACCATGCTACGCTCAAATGCACCCGGGGGGTAACTCTTGCCCTTGAGTGGTCACATGCCGCAATCCGGCGCCCGCTTGTGTGCACTGAACGTTGACGCTCGCGGCTGTGGAATGAATTGTGATCCGCATGAAGAGAATGGAATCCCACCCTGTCTCCGCTGCCCAATTGTGTCAGTCGAGCGTAAACGCGGTTTCGTTGTTTCGGTTTTGCCGTTTCTCTCGGAAAATCTGCTGGAGATCATGGTGGGAGAGTGACCTCGCGGGTACTCATTGGGATCTGGGCTGAAGGCCTGAGGCCTGAGCTACGTCGAAGGACCGGTATAGCCCTAAATGTGATGTATGATTGAGCAATCTTCCAAAATCCTATGATTACGATGGAAAGGGTGGCTTTACCGTGCCGGAAATTTCTCACTTGTAGTTACGCTGCATGGTAGGCTTTCCGGTTCGAGTCAAACCGGTAGACAAATTAAGTCTCGTGTGTTTTACGATTTCTGTTGCCAACAACTGTAGGCTTGGACCGGTAAGACCGGTGTTGCTTGCAGTCCACGCACGACCCTGTTAATATCTCTTACAGTTGACCGGTGTTAGCTTTTCCGCGGCGCTGGCGCCTTGACTCCTTTTCGTCTCTGTTGCCTGGACAACTAAGGTTGGCGGGTTTTCGGCACTTGAGTGAACCCTCATGGATATCGTTGGATGGGGTTCCCAAGGCCGCACCATGGACGAGTGAGCAGTTGCCCAGTTGTTATGAGGGAATCTGGCAGGAGCCATCCACTTTCGAGTTGTGCATATCATCACCACACGGCGCATTTTGTTTTGCTCTGCGAAATTGGTTCAGCTTGCGCAGGGCGCAAAGTAGACTGGGACCACCACATACCTCGGGGCTCAGGCCTACCGATTGATGGTGTCGTCCCAACGCTTGATCTCGGACGTTTAAACTCTAAGTTTGATTAACGCAACGACGTTGGAGGACAAGCCTCGCCCATTAATCGAGCCGTAGCAAGGCGGGCATTGTCACCCAAGGGTAAACACATGCGAGGCGAACCCTTCGAGCCCGGGCCCTTTTCTTGGACATATGCGTCGTTGAAACTGATAGCATCGTGAATGGCTTGGGGGGTTTGTATATTCGTAGCACCCGTCCTAAGGTCGTAGTGCTCGGCCCCGTTGATTCCCGCCCACCCAAAGTATCTTGTCATTGAAAAACGTAGAAGAACAGGGGGAAATTACTGTGAATTACCCTGGATGTTCAGAGAGAGGTTGCTTGTGAGGTTTTGTGTAAACGTTCCGGTGCCGCAGCGCCTTTGATGAAAACGTGTTACAGATCGTGGTCGTGCTTTTGGACCGGCTCCCTATTGTCCTCGGAGTGGCCACGGCGGTTTCCTCTTGTCCCTTGAAGTCCACACGGTTCGCACGGCCCCATCCAGGTTTTGCTTTATTTCGTGACTGCCTCCAACATTCCCCTTCCCACCCAATACCCACCACCGTCCACATTGCTCTCCTGACATGCCCCTTCCCGAGAACACTACAATATCTTTGCACAACCACTCCCGTCCAGGAGATGCCTTACATTCCAAACCCAAGCAGGCCATGTTTTTGAGATTGTCGGCAGAGACACTGGAGGCGTTGCAAGCGTCACCCGCACCCCAGGTTCACTTCACCTTCGGGAAGCGACCAGTGAGTCCGATTCTCGCCACCCGATCGCCATAGCTAGACCGTCTGCCTCGCAGTGCATTCAAGTGGGAGACACCTTCTTTCCTACCCAGCCATCTCCCGAGAATGCAGTTCACGATATATACCTCCGCGCCACCTCCGCGAGACAGAAGAATCCACCACTCAAGTACTACGCGAAAGTGGTCGGAAAGTTTGTGGTGCACCGCGACCGCCTCGATGAAGTTGGCGATAAGATTGGTCGCACTAGAAAGGATGCCGAGGAGCTGCGACAACAAAGGAAGATCCAGATGATTGACGAGCCCCCTGCTGATGTCTTGAATGCGGGGAAACGCAAGGACGCCAAACCCAAGAGACCCGCCCCCACCCCAACTATCAAACGACCCACCCCCACTCCGTCTTCAAATAATCCAAGCCCTGGCATCCCCACACCATCTCTTGGAAGTGATTTTCGAAGTAGGCTGATTCAATGCCTCTTAGCCAGCCCTCGCACGACCGAGGAATGCATCAAATTACTCCTTGGGCGCAATCCAAATCCAGATACACGAAAAGAATTTCTGAAGATGCTCATTGAGGTTTGTGGTGCGGTCCCTCCTGCGTTTCTTTTTCTGAGTGGCACACTTCACAGGTGGCAGATAAACCTCCATCCAAGAAAAACGCAGACGCTCCGGCATCACAAGTATGGACCTTGAAAACGCAATTCCGGGCAGAAACTCGTTCACGATTAACTACCGGCGAGGTGGAACGGGTCAGTATGACGCGAAACACCACCCCCACTCATACAGAAGGCCGTCCTTCTCCAATGCCCGCGCCCGAAGTCAAGAAGCCCGCCATGCCTCGAAAAGAGAAGAAACAGAAGAAGGCGGATACCCCGATATTGGCGAAAGACGAGAGTTCAGGCTCATCATCCAACACCGTGAGAGAAGCTGTAGCTAGTTCGACCAAAACTGCTCCATCTCCCCTTCCACCCCCAGTAAGGCGGCTGCCTCCCGGTTCCGGTTACAAGGCCAGGGCACCTTCCCCTAGTATTCCCTCCCCAACGACTGCAACTATACCTCAGAAACGTCCCCATCTCAATGATGCGACGGAGCGACGTGAACAATCCCGTCTCGCTTCTTCATCCCGCCCATCTCCATCACCTGCACAATTACCTTCCAGGCCTAGTCCCGCCCCCTCTATTACGAAACAGATGGCAGGATCACAAAACACCCGCGGGGATGGGCCGCCGGTCAAACGTAAGCGGTTGGAGGAAGATCCACCCACGGAAACACTTCACACCGCTCGTATACCCAAGAAGCGGAAAGCGGATGACGAACCTCGAGTGTCTTCGAGAGACCAGTCCGCAGTGTATGAGGATGGGGAGCTCCCGGAGTCCCCTGTCCCAAAGAAGAGGCCGAAACTCGAGGACAATCCAATCCCCCGCGAGGGCAACCGCGAACGTGAAAGAGAGCGCGAACGCCCTCGCAATCGCGAGAGGGAACTGAAAACACTTCCTCCCAAACCTACGCGAGCTCACGAGCCTTCTCCTTCCCCTCGAAAGTCTCAGCAAAGCTCTACTCCCTCAACACAACATAGTCGAGATTCTTCGGAAAGGCCTGCTACCGCTGTGATGGGTACATCCAAGTCCAACAGCGGGAAATTCAAACGCGGATCCTCGATATACACGACTTCTGATGACGAGATGCCCCTCAAGAAACAGACACAAGCTCCTCAGCCCAAGGCCTCAGCGAACGTCCCCCCTCAGCACAAGAAGAAGCGCGATCCACAGCCACGACCGCCCCTGCCCTCGGATCCTGCCGGCATCCGTGCTGTATACCGGGAGCGTTATGTGCCATATATCACGACCTATGGAAAGGTCGTCGCACAGAAGGCAAAACTGGAAGAAGCTTTGAGCGGTTCTGTAAGTTCCGATATGGACTTGATGGAAGAGGACGAAGTCACGAAGCTTGCAAATGAGCTGAGGTTGTATCAACGGGAGCTGGAGGTTATAGAAGCTGCGTATAAGAAAGCCGGGGGGCGAGGGAAGCTGGAGCCCGAAAGGATGGGGAGGTCTTCATCCTCGGACTAGGGTTCGAAGGATCTTGGTCGCTCATGCTCAATCCTCATCGCTATTTATTAGCTCACCTGCATCAGTACATATGACAGACAACATGACATAGAACATCGTGTACAGTAGGATAGGTTCATCCCGTCTAGATATCCAAAATTGCGTTCCGGGACCTAGCTCAAAAAAGAACTGCCCCGGAGAGGCTTGAACTCTCGACCTTGTGATGACAACTCAACCGATAGAGATAACAGTCACACGCTCTAGCCAACTGAGCCACGGGGCAATATGCTACTCTCTGCTTAATATAAGTAATAAACCAAAAATAAATATATCCAGGTGCCAATGCTTCACACTTCTGCCCAAGTGACGTCTTCCTTTGTCGCTTGCTTTCCTCATGTCGCTCCCTAGGTCTCGTTTTCTTGCTCGCCCGCTACGTGAAGGCATTGGGTCTTCGTCGGGTCAGACTTCTCGCCAACACACGCGAAATGCCACATCTGAACGGTATTCCGCAATCCGTAGCTTCTTCAAGCAACAGCATCGACGCGCTTCTCCACCGAAAGATTCGACAATCCTTGTACCTCTCGGATGCCAGGCCTCCTACGGAACTTCATTCCTCGCTCGGTCGACGTTTTATGCAACAGTGTATTCTGCTCGTGCCTTGCACACGACCAGTACCCTGTTTAAGCAAGGACAACCACCACATTCGCTGCGGGCTTCATCGTCCATTCCGACAGCAACTCATGACAGGAAATCAGAAGAATACCATCGGGATGCTAAACACGAAGCGGAAGAAATCGAAGACAACAGTCGTGTGCCTAATCATCTTGACAACTATCCTGCATTCTTTCGCCGTCTCGCAATGTCCTTGCCGAATATCCAACGACCGACCAGGGACGACCTATTGACAGTCGCAGAGGGGTTTTGGCAGCGTGCTCGCATTCGATTCCGGTGGTTCACAATAAAGTCATTCCGTAAATTCAACGCGGATGACATCTCTGCATTCGTAACGTGGTTCTTGATGAGCCAAACAATATGGATCCTCGTTGGAACGTGAGTCGCAGTTTCTCTGAAGAATTGCATACCCTTAGGTTGGACCCAGGACCACTTTCTTTTCTGTCGTATTCGCGGTCGCGAACAGTCTGCGCCTGCAAGGTCTGTTCTCGTTTGACGATGTGATCCACTTGAGGCTGACTGTCATCGAATAAGAGTACGTTGCCCACGCGTTGAGCGATTACCTGACCGCAGAGACTGGTGCCAAGATTATATTCGAATCTGCTATTGTACCCAAGTGGAAAGACTCCCGGATATCGTTCAAAAATGTTTACGTTGTGCGCCGCCCAACCGTCGCCAGGGACACGCCGCAAAGTGGGGCTAAGCCTACTGCTATCGGCTATGACATTAGCAATCATCCGCTAGTTCATGGAAATGGGGAAGAGGAGGACGAACCACATCTCCCAAACCTCTCTGAGGAGGTCACACATTATACCCAGTTTGATCTCACGGTTGATTCCATCGATGTGACTCTCTCGTTGTGGAGATGGTTGGATGGCAAAGGGCTCGTTAAAGATGCCGCGGTCAAGGGTGTTCGTGGGATTGTTGGTGAGTCGTTCCCTCCTACCTGAGGTCCTTCCTGTTACCTACAAAGGCAGACCGTAGAGCAGTTACTTGGGACCCCGACCACCCATTTGACCCGGCGCTATTCAGGCATCGTGCACAACCTGGGGACTTCGAACTGGAATCGCTGCAGTTAGAAGACGTTCTCGTTACAGTCTACCAACCAGGGGGATTCCGACCCTATACCGCATCAATCTTCCGTGCTGATATCCCCACATTCCGGAAGCAATGGATGTTCTATGATTTCCTTTCCGCAGAGAATATTGTGGGTCAGTTCGATAATTGTTTGTTCAGTCTGCACAAGCCGCAAAGCATCGGACGTACCAATGAACGGGATATGCTTGATGGGAAGTGGGCCCGTATGGTAGGTTCTCCCTACTCAAGATGCTGATTAGATGCTGATCTTGCTATAGTCTCGCTTCCGCATCGATGGTGTGAACATTGACCACGTTCAGGCGGCTACCACTGAGGGCGGGCCAATGTCCTGGATCAAGTCAGGGAAGGTTGATGCAGTTCTTGACATAAAGTTTCCGCACGATACCGAGGAAGATGTCTTTGATGCTATCCTTGGTGAAATCGCAGACGCAATCACAACCGCAACGACCTCGCTCTCCCTAAGCGATCGTATCCCGGGTCAGAGGCAGCTGGCCAAACCTCCACTGACCGCTCCTTCTGACGCGGAAGACGATGAACAATCACAGAAGGGCCGAAGGTTAACAATCGACATTGACTTGCGATTCAGGGACTTGAAGGCGGCTGTCCCCATCTTCACTAACGATCTGTCATACGTAAATAATGCCGCTGTTCGGCCCATCGTCGCATTCATGAAGTAAGTGCATTGCTGTCATACGGTTTCCACTGCGGAGAAAAGAGCTAATCCCTGATTAGCGCAAACAAGACCCTGATTCCAATCCATTGTAAAGTCATAACGAGTATAGACAATTTTGATGGCTCTTGGACTGTACGTACATCTGCGTTCCACGGTGTGGCTCACACAATACTGATCGCATGCTCCACCCTGCAGATGTGGGAAAGTGAGTCTACAAAGACGCCGGATTTGTGCCACAAGACACTAACTTTCTCTTCTAGCTGGATTGATGGATTCTATCGCCATCAAGGTAGGCGTTCGTTCAACGTTTCAGCAGCTGCTCACCTGGCTAACCTGACCAAAAGGTGTATGACGCCATGGCCTTCCATGTCTCAAACCAGGCAAACACTCCTCACAGGGTCCGAACAGTCGGAATCTGGAGCTTGCAAATGACTGCTAGTGCCTTTCTTTCTACCCTGCGCACGCTCGTTGATCCACTCGCTGTCCGGCTGCGGGAGATTTACATCGATCCCTCCTCCTTCGATTTAGCATATATTTAATGGGACTGTAGATCCATGTCACTTAAGAGAACCCTAGTAGACTTTCATCCCACTCAATAGAAACCATCATTCCGTTGAACGCTGCTGCTGAGGTTCGGGCTCAGTGACGGTGATCACAGTCGGTCGATCATTGAATTTGGCTTTCTGACTTGAACCACGACATTATATGGCGAAGAAGCAACGCGAAAATGCGCCGCCGAACCCTCATAGCGTCCCGAACAGGGAAATTATGCAGAGGTTAAACTTTTTGTACCAAGCGAGCACTTGGTTATCGTCTCTCCCTGCCAGCAAGGGCGATGTGACCCCAACGGCGGAACCCTCGGTCCCGCCCGTCATATCGTCCGATTCGAAGGGGAAAAAGAAACAGAAACCCAGAGTGCCACCTGTTACTCCTGCATATCTGTCCAGAGCATATGTCAGCTCTATGAAGGCCATCGGCCGAAAGACTGTGGTGAAGTTGTGAGTTTCTTGACCCCCCCCCCCTGTTCGGCTGGAAGTTTATGACATGTCTGGGGTCTGTAGGGACCCTTCCGTGAAACGTACGATATGCAAGGGTTGTGATGCCCTCTTGATACCCGGGATGACGGCGATCGTCCGGTCGAAACGTTCGTCTCTGCTATCTTATCACGGAATGGACACTCAGAGCGATTGGCCTCTACAGCTTCATCCTCGCACAAAAAGATGGTCAGGCTCTCGTGCGTGAATTGCAAGACTATGCGGCGGATACCGGCACCACCGATATCGCAGGAAGTTCCAGAGTCTGCTATGCAGGTCGACGGCGTGGAGGTCGAAGGCAAAAGTCGCAAGAGGCCCAAGAGGAACGTTGTGTTCAAACGACCGTTTTTCGAACGCCCAGAACACATTTTGTTCCGTGGAAACGAGATGGTCGTAAATACGGACGAGGATATGCCGAGGGAAACGGCCCCTCGGGAGTCCGAGCCGGTGAGGATGGAAATCGATGCGGTACCCATACCAATCGATGGTTAGAGATGAGGTGGGGTCTTGGGTCGCTGGTATGGGGTACCTACTAAGAAAATACACCAGACGTCTATATTATGATACAACGAAGATTGCCTTCCTAAGCAGTGTCTGTGTATGCGATAATGAATGAGGTGGACCGTGATAGGTGGGGTATGGCTATGGTACAAATGTCCCAGAAGGGTCAAGGTATATCCTAGGACACCCAAGAAACTGAGAGGGCAAAGAGAACGTATGGAACTATATGAGACAAGAGAGCGTGGCATAGAAAACGTGGAGAAGAAACAAGCGTAGTGTAAGTAAATCACGTCCGTGGTGGAATGTCGAACGCCGAAGCCGAGAGTTGTTTCCGTCGCAACGGACGTTTCTTCCCCAATACTCCGTCTGGCGGAACTTCTCCCTGCTGAGTCCCGAAGAGCTTTTGATAGATTGGCGAAGTCATGGTGGTAACTTTGAGGGAAGGAGAGGGCGTATCTCGCGCGCTCCTCTGAGAAGCGTTTGATTCAGATCCTTCCCCCGGACTACAAAAACGGATTTCGGAGACCTCCGACGTCGTCATCGGCACACTCTCCGTTGGCGAAGCTCCACCGGTCTGAGGTCGGAGAGATCGTGAAGACCGTGAAGTCTGTGGGCGGCCTGGGGAGTGAGGGTGGAGTTCCGCCGACAGTCGTAATTTTGGTATTGGGAGTTGCCGAATGACGGCGGAGAGCGACACTCGCTTCGAGTTTCTGATTTCTGGTCGCCTGTCGGAATCGCGATTTGACGGAGTGGGGCTGGTCCTGATGATAGGCAGAAGGCGAAGGGAGTCGTGGTTTGTATGGGGGAGAGGTTGCGTGGGATTTGGTGGTTTTCCCGGACCATCCATCAAAGATGGAGGTCTGGAGGTTGCGTTCATGTCCAGGAAGGAATAGGTCATCGTCCCCCCTTCCTCATTTACCGGTTGTAGGTCTGGCTCAGTGGGTGCTTGGCAGTTGAGGGAGCTAGGTTCGGGCACTGCTTGCATTGGCGAGATAAGGAGCGAAGGCCGTGGGTCACAAGTGCTGGTACGATGAGACTGTGGGCGAGGTCCGGAAGGTTTTGGAACGCTACTTCGCCGATTGACACCCGGCGAGGGTGCGTTCCCCGAATCGACCGTTTGGGGACTCTGGATACGGGCACTCAGATGCTGATATAGAACCTCTGGTAAGTGAACGATACCATCGCCACTGTTTTCTTTAGTTGGAGACGGTAAAGATGTTGTAGGTGATCGCGGGAAGGTTGGAGGAGAAGCTCTGGACCACGGACGTGTAGATTGTGGGGTGGAAACCGAGAAAAGTTCGAGCG